TATGATCCTCCAGTGTTTGGCTATAAACCAAGATGTCATCAAAGAACACGATTACAAATTTTCTCAAGAATTGGTGGAGCATGCGGTTCATAGTTGCTTGGAAGGTAGACGGGGCATTCATTAATCCGAAAGGCATGACAAGAAACTCGTAATGTCCTTCGTGAGTTCGAAAGGCGGTTTTATATATGTCCCGGTCATGCATCCTTATTTGATGATAGCCCGCTCTAAGATCTAATTTTGTAAACACCATTGCTTGGCCTAATTCATCAAAGAGCTCATCTGCAGTAGGAATAGGAAATTGGTCACGTACTGTTGCAACGTTCAAGGCTCTATAATCTACACAAAACCTGTAGGTCCCATCTTTCTTTTTTACGAGTAGGACTGGTGATGAGAAAGGGCTTTGACTAGGTCGAATAACTCCTTGATCTAGCATTTCTGTAACAAGCTTCTCAATTTCTTCTTTTTGGAAGTGTGGGTAGCGATATGGGCGAACATTGATTGGCTTGGTTCCCGGATTTAAATGAATCCTGTGATTGAAAAATCTATGTGGGGGTAGCGTAGCAGGTGTTTGGAATAGTTTCTCATGCTGTTGAAGTACTGTTATAATTTCTGGTGGTATATCTGTAGGGAATTCTACCGCTTCTATAGATTTTTCAGTATTATTTTCTTTTGGCGGGGATTCAGGACCACGTATTAAGAGTAACTCATAGAGTTCCAGTATTTCCCTTGTTACTACTGGAGCTTCTAACTGATTCAGAGTTATTTCTTGTGGTGTCAATGAATGATTTCCTTGCAATTTAATCTGGTGGCCTTTCCATTCAAACTCCATGGACACATTAGCATAGTCATGCTCAACTTTTCCAAGTCCCCGTAACCATTGAATTCCCAATACCATGTCTGGGCCTTGAATTGGAAGTACAAAGAAGTCTACCAAGAATTCAGTGCCTTGTAGTGTCAATGATACTTGTTTGCAGCTGTGGGTATAAGCTAGAGAATCTCCGTTACCAACATATACCCGAAATGGTGTGACCTTCAAAGTATGTAACTGTAATTGCTCAGCAATTTTGGGTTGCACAAAGTTATGGGTGCTGCCACTATCTATTAAAATCTGTAACTTTCGGCCATTAACTTCTCCCAAAAGTTTAAGCGATCTGGGATTACCCGGGCCTGCCAATGAGTTTAGACTGGAAATATCTCCTGTGATTATGTCATCTTGTCCATGCACTATGATTTCTTCTTCTAAGATTGGATCTTCTATATCATCCTCTTCTGTCCCCATTAACATTAGAAATCTGGTTCGACACCTATGATTGGTTGACCAACGTTGGTCACAGTTGCAGCAGATACCTTTCTCTCGTTTTTCCCGCATTTCTGCAGGTGTTAATTGTTTAATGGGGAGATTTTGTGTTGATTGAGTTGAGGGTGTTAAAGCTAAGGTTGTTGTCTCCCTTTTGTCTTGGTTCGATGATTGTGTTATAATCGGGGCTGACCGTGTAGTGTTTGCAGATGGTGTTTGGCGTTGTTGCCACCTTAAGGGTGCTCGTGCATGTTGGAGCTCAGCCTGAATTTCTTCCAATTTTGCTTCATATTCTCGAGCAAGATCAAAAGCTTCCATCAATGTTGTTGGTCGTGCCATCTGCACTTCTCGTCGAATAAGTGGTTTAAGCCCTGCGATGAACATGGAAATAAGGATATGTTCTGCAATCCCTGTAACTTTATTCATTAATTGTTCAAATTCTGCTTGATAGGCAGTGACTGTGGTTTGCTGTGTCAATTTTGACAATTTTCCTTGGGAATCCTCAAAACGAGACTCGCCGAACCGCTTTGTGACATTCTGTAGAAATTCCTTCCATGTAGTTAACATTCCATTCCTTTTCATCCATTGATACCACCCAGAAGCATTCCCTTCCATTGTGAATCCTGCTATTCGCAATCGCTGTGTGTCGGGTGTATCATAAAAATCAAAATATTCTTGAATTCTAAATATCCAACCATGAGGATCTGAGCCATCAAAGCGAGGTAACTCAAGTTTCATATGAAATCGTTGAGTCCCTTGGCCACTCTCCGGTTGCAAAGATGGTTGTAGATGAGTATCAGGTGGAGGTCCTAAAATTCCATGTGTTTGAGGTTGCACTGCTGCATTTTTATTTGTTGTTACCATCGTTTCCAACCGTGACACGGAGGTAATGAGTTGTTGAATGAGTTGGTGATTTGTAACAGTTTGTCTATCAAAATTTTCTTGCAATTCAGCAATTGCCTGCTCCCAAGGACGAGTTGTTGATGTAGATTGGTTGTCTAACATAATGGAGTAAGATTACAGTTTTGAGTGTGTAAACGAACAAGAAAGATGAGTTCGATGCAATGAAAGCACCAATTGATACGAACACGTATCAAGCCGGCACCGCTTTGAGTGGATGCAGACTCCAAAGATGGAGTTAGGGGAGGAGAAAATTAGAGAGAGAGAGAGGGAGGAGAAAATTAGAGAGAGAGAGAGGGGGGGGGGGGGGGGGGGAGAAAGGGAGAGAGATTTCAGAGAAGGAAGATGATAGTAGAGAAGAAAAAGATAATAATAATTCGCATGTCTTTCCCCTAGCATGTAGGGTGATTATATACTAAGTTACTCCTATTATGCTTAGGACTATGATTCTTAATTAATATGATATAATAACGTATTAGGACTAAACTAATGTATCCTATTATGAATAAACTTAGTCTAACAAATGTAATCAGCCATCCATGCCGGTTTCCTTCGTTCTCTCCTTGGCCTAGTAGCTTGGGTTGTTTCTTTTCTTTTTCCCAATTCTTGATTTTCACCCGTGGATGTACTCGTATCAATCTACATATGGGACAAGTTTGATGAAGTACCAACCAAATAGCAATGCAATTTGAATGAAATTTATGGTTGCATGGGCAGAGAACGGTGAAGATGTCGCCTTTCTGGAAACCAGTGATACAAATAACGCATTCATTCTCTCTCCTCTCCCTTTAAACTTTTAATATTTAACCTTACTTCTGCAAACAATTGGCTAAAGAAGCTGTTGATGAAGGTGGAAGCTCCGACAAGAACATTAAGGAGTTTGTGTCTGCTATTTCTTCATCTATGTAAAAACGCCAATCAATGAGTTGTTGGACTTACAGTACGTAGATTTATAAATTGGGATATAAGAGATCAATGTATCAACATATTTAACCATCACAACATAATCAACAATGAGACAGGGTTATCAAAAAAAAAAAAAAAAACAATGAGACAGGAATAATTATACATTTCCAAATATTTAAAATAAGGAATCAAGAATCTTGATTATTATGTGCAAGAAACAGGGTGATAAAATTAATGAGTTTGGGTAAACGGGTTAACATGATAATATTAACAGGTTAAATGAGTTCTTAATAGGTTTAATAGGTTGACCCGTTAAAACACGAAACATAATAGATGGGTCATTCCCGCTAACGATACAGGACAACGGATCCTTAACGGGTCAACCCATTAACGATTTGGGACATACAAGTTCTTAATAGGTTTCACAAGATTTAACAGGTTAACCCGTTAAGACACGAAAATCGAATATTTTATTACACCATGCCTCCGAAATTTTCCTTAAGAAAACCTTGGCTCCCCCTTAAGAAAAATATCCCGCGTCAATATTTTGCGTTTCCTCCCAACCAACCTTACAACATTGGCTTGCAGTCTAGTTGCGACCACGACTGAATGGCTTACCCTTAGCCCACGCCCTACGGCAAGGGCCCCTTGAGGAGGTCTAGGCCTATTTCTTGGGCTTTTGGGGTGCCACCTATGTAGCCTAGGGGCATGGTTCACCTCTCGGGCCCTTTGGGGTACCCAGGCCTATTTCTTAAGCTACTGGGGTATCGCCTACATCGTCCGAGGCATGGCTCGTGACTCGGGTGCCTTGGGGTGTGTGGGACAATTTCTTGAGCACCTAGGGTGTTGCCTATCTCGTGCTAGGGCATGGTTTGTGACCAGGACCCCTTGGGTCGTCCGAGACAATTTCTTAAGCATCCGTGTTATTCCTTATCTCGCTCGGGGCATAGTTCGTAACCTAGGCCCGTTGGGGCGCCCGGGCCAATTTCTTGAGCACCTGGAGTATTGCCTATCTTGCATGAGGTATAATTCGTGACCCGCCTGATGACTCTTATTTTGTATCATATTTTCACCACATTCTTATTCCTTTTTGCACGTTTTGAAGTGTTTATTTGGGTTTCCGGACTAAAAAGAGTGTTTTGTGCTCAAAATGACTCCAAATACACTTTCGAGGAATAAAAATGAAAAACGAAACAATATTTGATCATTTTGGAGCAAAAACGCATTAAAAAGGAGCATGAAAGCAAAATCGGAAGAAAAAACGCAACAGTGGCACGCCCGTGTAGTTAGGATTTAGATGTTGATACAGTGGGGTGGTTGCATTGGTGTAGTGGTGCATTGTGGTGACAGATGTTGTGAGGTGGTGTGGAAGTGGTTGTGCGTCAATGATGGCTGTGACTTGTAGATGTAGTACTTGTTACAGTGCCAGTGCATCATTGTTGTAGCTTTGGTGCATTCAGCTCTTAGATGTAGTGCATCATACTGTCATTAGGGTTATTTGTCGTAGAGTTTTATTTTTTGATTTCTAAGCATTAATGTTTAATATTAGTGATAAACATAATGCATACTATATTGTTAACAATTCATCTTTTTGTCGCAATTGGATGCTTATGGGTGGACTAATTTGCCCTACCATATATTTCTTATTATATTATACTAATAGTATCTTTAATTTTAGGAGACCACAACCGTGCATCACTTGATTTTAATGGTCCAAATTATACCACAGTTCCCACCTAAAGCATGGTTCTTATAAGAGCCAAACCCGTGACTAATCTAAACCATCCATCTTGAATGATGGGAAACTACAAATTGGTAGGACTGCTCAACAAAATGTTGTCATTTAATTGTGTTATGGACACATCGTACTTCTAACAATCTAATAATATAAGCCATAGAGGTGGATACTAATTACTATTTAAAGAAAATTAAAAAAGATCAAAACGATGAAATGTTATTACTTACAAATGTAAGGAGTAAGCTCAAAAAAGAACAAAAAAATCTTTCACAAGTCCAATGAAACAATAGGTGTAAATGACTAAATGTAATAAGCAGATCACTGTTGTTAGTACTTAGAGGTCTCTGAATGTTGTATTTTTCCAGTGTTGAGAACACGAGCAAGCAAGTCACACGATCACAAAAATTCCTGCTTACATCCACCACTGATTACCCAATGTTTAATGTGGCACATTGCTCAAGTATTTCCTGCCATACAAACAAACAGAATGAAACATGTAATCATGGAGACAGAATCACACATTACGGGGTAACCCTAGCCAAGATGGCAAGGGTTCCACACTTGTAACCACAAGGTCACGAGTTCAAATCCTTGTCCCCTTTGTTTGAGCCGGTCAGTTATGGGTAACCTAGATTGTGGGGTTTCCCTCGTCATCCAGAATCACACATTACCATAGTGCAATGGAGGAGTTGGAAATCAATGCAAGTTCTCTGGAATCTTGGAAGCATGAGATACAGAGTAAGAAAAGGCAAGATAATCATATTTTGTAGGAAGGTAATGCTAAATGTTGAACCACAACATCTAAATCTAAATCTTCATAATAAGGTGAAATTTTCTTTCTTTATTTCACTAGAATGTAAATGTAAGGCATATTAAATGAGAACCAAAAACACTATATATATATATATATATATATATATATATATATATATATATATATATATATATATATATATATATATATAGGCTGAATTTTCTGGACGGGAGGGGGAGAGAGGGTTGGGGTTTCAGGAGAGATTTGAAGGAAACCTTATATCTTGATGCATCAAGATTCTCAGCATTTTGCTTTTCAATCAATTGATTTGTAATTTCACCAACCAACTTCCAGTGCACAATCTGAAAAAGCCACATTTTCTTACTGGAAAAGCAACCCGTGACAAATAACAGCAAAATATTGAACTTTTGTAAAATCACTTTTAGAATATAAAGAGAGGAAGCTCTGGAAGAACAAATGCTAAAACTCCAGAAAAAAAAAAAGATTAGAGGTAGTACACAGTTTTTATTTTAAACAAAGACTCAGCTAACATTACAAGACCAGAAATTGGACAAGTATATGAATCAATTAAAATACCTGTAGAAGCTTCTCTACTCCAGGTGGATGCAAAATTTTGCATGCTCTTCCTCTTTCCTCCCTCAAACACTGTTCAGCCTAAAAATTTAAAAAGAACCCCCAATCCAGACATGGAGGAAACTAAAATACTTTTCATGGTTTTTTAATGTGAAAACATATGAAAGGAATATGACTTAAGCATGACAAAATAATACATAAAGCATATGAACCTTAGATGCATATTCTGCAGAAGAATAATTCAGTAGCCATTCTGGAGCTACTTGAGAGTAGTAATTGCCTGTGTCGACAAGTATTGCCTCCTCAAACTTGTTATAGCAGAATGGCCTTGTTTTCCCTCCAACTTCAGTGAAAAAGTTTGAAAGACTCTGTAGAAAGGTCTGGTCAGTTGGCAGCCCATTGCGGTCTTGTGTGATCTATATGTGAATATTTTCACTAGTCAGATCAAGTTGTGTTAATGATATAATGAATTTGAAACTGGAAACATTATGCATTCAGTGAACTTTTCTGGAAAAATGATAAAAAAGTGTTCATGTTCAAGTGGATTTTGCTTTCCATTTTCCCCTTTTTTTTCCTTTTTGGAAATTGGAGAACATTTTGAAAACTTTTTCCAATTTGGAAAACTAGAAAATATGGGTGGATAGTGGAGTAAGGATTTTTTTTTTTTCAAGTTGGCCCACTTTAGGAGTATGGAGTTGTAAAATAGAAAAATTTTCATGCTACTAAATAGGCAGTTAAGTAACTCTACCAGTAATATAGCAGCATCTATAAATTTTTGGAGGAAAGCAGTACAGACCTGAAATAGAGAAATAAATCAAGCAATGATTGACCAAAAAAACAAGGCCCATTAGGAATTTGAAAGAATACAACAGTATATAAAAGTACCCACCAAGTCATGGAAACAGCAAACTGAAATTTCAGAAAGGGGTGCAGCAGTTTCGCGGTCAGAAAACCTCTGATCAAGGTACAAGTAAAATCCCCCAAGGCATTTCACCATTGATTTATAATTTGCCCATAAACGTCGAAGTTCAGATAACAGGGGAGCTCCATTTTTATCACTTAGGGATGGCAAAACCTACAAGTAAAATGAAAATTTATGAGATGATTGTTAACAAGAAGACAACTTAACTGATTAACTCATTAAAGGATTTTGTGCACAGTTGGAAAAGTTTATGCTTTAAACAAATACTCTCCGGATAGAAACACATCTAGCACTAACAAAGTGGCACTGACATTACAGATTGTTTTCCAGCAATATTGTTATAAGATTATCAGATTATGAAAGCTAAGATGCACTGGCTTTAAATGAAAATATGCTGCAAATACTAATATTATTCTTTAATTATTTTAAAGATAAAAATTAAACATGATATTTAACAAACAAGAAAATAAATCAAAATGTAAACTACTTTAAGAAAAACAAAGCATTCAAATTTCACTGAAGATGCATAAAAGCAATATCATTACATATCAAGATTAAAAATGTCTCACCTTTAAAAAAATACTTTCTTCCAAAGCTTTCTTAAATCTTTCATGAAGCTGCCATGAGTAGTCATTTGGCGGCGGTTGAACACACAAAAGATAAACACAACTATGAAATATTGAAATGTTAAAGATATCTCACAAGAGAATTGTCAAAAAATCAATTTGCAACATTTAGATTTTGGCTGTCACTATGGCAGATGCCATATAAGACAGCAGGAAGGTAACAACAACGTCTATGAAATATGATTGTTCACCCATATTTATCTTCAACTTTTCTAATTGTCCCATTTTTTTATTTTTGAATCCATCAAGAAATTTACATTCAGTGATTAAGAGGTAACCTGTCAAAAACATAACCTATATTCCTGGTCAAATCTTGTCACAACCATCCATGTAGATAGTAGAGAATCACTATTGGTTTCAAGTTACTCAAACAAAAAGGTAAGGTCAAGCAGGGGTTAGCATAAGTCCATATCTTAACAAATGCACAAAAAGAATTCTGTAGAACTGAACACTTTATTTTTTAAAGAATCCAAGATACATCCCCTAATACAATGAAAACTATCCAGTAAGGAAGCTTGAAACCATGCAGTAGAAGCTTCTATTCAACATTTGTATAGCCACCTTCAACAGATCTATAGTACAAAACTATCAATCTATTAATATTGAAGAGCTAAAGGCACTAGGAGGAAGATATGGGTATTACCTGACTCTGTTACGATATATGAATGTATGGTTTTAAAAGTTTGATAACTTTAGAAGGATGGTAACAGTAGCAGACACTTTATGAAAAATGATGGCTGCAAAGCAACAAATTAGCTGCTCTAGGAATTGGACAATCACCATAAATATGAAAGTGGAGCAGAGTTAACTCTACTAAGAGTGGAATACTAAATATGTGCCAAAAATACAGTTCCCTTGTTTGTTTTTCCTATTCTTTTCATAGTCTTAATAATAATTCTGCTAATATATAGTCAGTACACTTTGAACGAGAAACCTTTCTCCATTTTTCCAAGATATTTCTTCAATTAAGTATTAATTGTATAATAATTTAAAGCTGATTAGTTCTTACACATCCCAAACACTTAAAAATAGTTTTTCAGTATGACAAAATTATAGAGCATACTAATGATACTAGTACAGATACGAGAAAGCCAATTTAAAATAGAAGTGTATGTTTCAGTGTACATCTAACAAAGTACCAGCAAGCAGAAAAGGATACTCATAATACTTCATGTATTCCTCTGAACTAAACAGTGCACTAGCAGTGTAACCATCCATTATCATCAACGCTTTGGCAATGCCCTCCTCCAATCTATTCATCCCCTCTTCCAGTGTCAACCTGATCATCTTTTTCTTTATTTATTTTCCCTTCTTTTCTTTGATAAGTATCTTTCTATACCTTCTTCGTAAGCTCTTCAAATGCCCAAACAATTCCAAGATTAGTTAACACAAAAAATGATTAAGACGAAATATACTATTCAAAGCCACTACAATCAACAAATTTACATCATGCTAACCAATAATAGATGCACTTAACCTCATTGGACAGGTACATTTCAAGAACTAAGCCTAATAGCAAAATACAGTAGACCAAATTAGCCATGTAAATCTAAGTACTACTATAACATGAGAATCTACTCTATCATCACCCTGACAGATATCCAGATAAGGATTTACAAAATGTGAATCACTAATACAACGCTAATCTCAAGAATCCATGCACAAACAGGAATTTATTCAGAAGGACCGCAGATTGATTATGTATGCATACACGCGCACACCTTCAATCCGAAATTTACACAAACAGAAAAGCTGCGATTAGTGTCCGTGTAGGCGTGTGTGTATATGAAGCGCAGTGTAGAGAGACGGAAGTGAAGAAACGTAAAAGAAATAATGGGGAAAATAGGGTTTTGGAAATTACTCCTTAGGGTTTAGGGCTTTAGGCAAGGCATTTGTGGCAGGGAAAGTGCATATCGCACTCTCTCTCCCTCGCTTTATACGTCTCTTCAGTGCATGAAATGATGAACTTCAATTGAGAGCACCCAAGCAGAACAGACGAGACAGGGGTTGGTAAAGACGGTGTCGTTTATGCAAATTTTTTAAAGAGAATAAATGGAGTTTTTTTAAACAAAATTATATCTTATAAATAAATAAATTCAAAATATAAATTTATTATATAGGGCGTTCATGTGGTGATGTGCTTCTAAAACTTATCACGACCGGATAATAGTAAAACTTATCAAATTTTTAATATGTAATTATTATTGCCAATTCATTTTTGTAACGGTCATGTACTTATTATAAAATAATAACCCAAGTTATTTGTTTAATAAATTATAATTTTAACTATTTTACTATAATATGTCTACTATAAACATTAATTAAGGAGAAATTTATAAAGTATATAAATCTTTCCAAATCCCCCACCCCCCCCCCCCCCCCAAGTTAGAAATACTTGTATATTTTTGGAAAGAGGACAAAAATTTGTGAAGAATTTATAGGGTAGAAGATTTTTTTTTTTTTTATACACTCTAACCTATAAATAGTATCTATTCAATTGTAATGCCAACTCTAGTTACCAGGACTATGTGGTCCAATGGTACCCGGGTTGGACTTCCATTTGGAAGACTGTGAGTTCGAGTCTTAGTGGAGGCGTTATTAGCTCTTTGTGTTTCAGTAGGTTGAGAAAGTATATGAACAGATACTACATTGTAATAGAGCTAGTAGCATTCAAAAAAAAAAATGACTATTTTGTAGTACAAATATCAATGGGGTCCACTTTTGATTTCGATCGGGTCAAAGTGAATTCAAGTTCTTGTGTGAGGTTTATCATCGTCTACACAAACAGCAATACGGTTCAAAGACACTGCGTTCTACCACACAACCAGTAGAGTAAATATATATTCACAATGGAAGGTTCAAAGGGTAACACCTACCTACCCTATACGGGAAGACCGTTGAACAAAGTCCTATCATTTTACAGTCCCAAAAATCAATTTTGTATTCAGTTGGGGATTGTTGGAAAAAATAGTGTAAAATGTGTTAAGAACAAGTGTAAATTATATTTTTATGATACCTGGTAGTCATATATCTAGCTACTCCTAGGGCAGGGTATTGCTTTTGGCGGTCGGTTCTGTTGCGTCTTTGTGTCTGTATCCGGTACCGAGTGCTAAGAGCCAATCGACATCTTCCCGACCTCTAGCCCGAGCTTAGATACGTGTAGCATCGAAACATTCACGCCGCGCGTAGATGATTCCTCGGATAAAGTGCCACATGTAGATGATTCCTCGGATAGAGTACCGATAGTTGCATGTAGACCACGTGTCCGGCATGCCGGGGGCCCGAAAAGTGTCCCCTCGTCCCATATAAATACCTGCATTTATTGCTAGTAGGGGGACTTTTGGAGATTTCGAGGCTAGAAGGGAACCTCCCGACCCACTGTCGTTTGGTCCCGAGCTCCAATAGTATACGATCCAGCAGTGTAAGACAGAACATCGTATTTACACTATCATTTTGGCGCCGTCTGTGGGGAACAAAACGGAAAGCCGTTTGGCGCACCGTCATCGTTCTTTAGAGTCATGTATCTATTTATGGGCGATTTGGAACCCGAAGAGAGCGCCTCTTCGGACCTCCGCTCACACCTCAATTCACGAGTCGACCTCAACCAGTTGCCTGGGAGAGCATCGACCCTTGACCAAGTAAATTTCGTCCAGCAGGGACCAGTATACCCAGCAGTACCCGGACAAATACCGTTTCAGCAACCCATCTACAATGCTGGGATGTTTGACCCCATGTTCCAATATTGGCAGAGCCCGCAACGGTTCTATCCTCTGGCTTACCAATTCCCACCGGTATCAGGTATATTTCCACATCCTCCGTATATACCGCAACCAGTCGAAGTGCCTGTGGAGATGCCTCCGGAAGTTCCTCAACCCGAACTGCGACGAGCACAATCTGAGAGGCGGCCGGCCCGATCACATTTGGGTGCTGAGGGTGTAGCTCCGGTTGAAGATGATGTCGGACAACGAACAAGTGCTTTTGTGAGGCTCGGTCCAACGGCGCAGCGTCGACCCCATCAGCAGGGAGATGGCCGAGCACAAGTTGAGGCATCGATAGCGAGTCGCCATGGGAACTCGAGTGAAGTCAGCTCCTCCCGGTCGCAAAGGCGAAGGGAGCCCAGGAAAGTTACACCGCTTAACCTGAACGACGAAACCAAAGGTCTTTCGGAGCAGGTCTGCAATGAATTCCGGACATGGAAGAGGGAACATGGCTCCCGGTCATCCGCAGTCGCGTCCCCTCTGCTAAAAACGCCATTCACTTAGGAGATTATGAACCAGCCTTATCCCCATGATCTCCGAGTTCCAGGCAGTAAAGATTATGACGGTCGGGCCGACCCTGAGATGTACGTTAACTCGTATTACGGGAATATGCTGATGATGGGGGTCACCAATGCCGTTACGTGTCGGGCTTTTTATTCCACCTTAACCGGTCCGGCCGCCGAGTGGTTTATAGCTTTAGAGCTAGGTTCGATCTCTTGCTTCGTTGACTTGGCTACCAAATTTGTCTGAAAATTTGTGACGTCCAAAACGGTCAGGAAGCACTTTATGTATCTGGAAAAAGCTAAGCAATTGGAGGGGGAGTCTCTATGCGACTTTCTCGTCAAGTGGAAGACTGCCATCGGAGAAGTCGAGCCCATGGATGATCTCACCGCAATCAACATGTTACACTCTTCTCTCCAAGCGGGAGCGTTGTATCAAGACTTCATCTTGCACCCCCCGACCACCTATGAAGATGCCATCCGACGCGTGATGGATTATGCTAATGCAGGGGAGGCTAATGCAGCAAAACAGTCGTAGGAGACTGACACAAATCGGAAATAGCCCGGCCGACCAGATGGCAGACAATGAGAGCCTCAGGGCAAAGGGCGGGGGCGAATGGAAGATTTTACTCCTCTGAACCGGCCAGCGGTGGATGTCTTGCGTTACGCGCAATCATGTAATATGATCGAGCTCCCTAAACCATTCAGAGATGGTCGGGACAGGAATAAATATTACGCGTACCACCAGTGTAAAGGACATGAGACAGAGGAATGTATATACTTGAAACAGCTCATTGAGGACTTGATACAGTCCGGGAAATTGACCGAGTTCACGGCGAAGAAAGAGGAGAATAAGAAATCCTCATGGAGAAAAAGTTTTAAGTGATTAGACCAAGGAAAGAAAGACAATGGGCCCTGACGACCCCCCAGCCTCTGCTTCTAAGCAGGTCATCCACGTTATTTTTGGTGGACCGGAGGATGGGACGTATCCATTAGAGTGACATTCGATGTAATCTATTGATTCGGCAGAGGGCACAAAGAGGCAAAAACAAGAACCAATCACATTTACGCCTGAAGACCTTTCGAATGGTTCAGACCAGAGCGCCGAAGCACTTGTGGTCACTATTGACATCATGGGGATGGACGTTCAGCGCGTCATGGTTGATACCGGGAGTAGTGTAAATGTGTTGTATCTTGACGTTTTCCAGAAGCTCAAGCTCGACCACATCGAGCTCACTCCAATCGGCACCCCTTTATCTGGATTCACAGGTGATGTGATCCACCCCGAGGGAAAGAGAACCTTGCCCGTGGAGTTGGGTACCCCGCCACGAGTGGTGCAAGTATTGATGGAGTTTGTGGTCGTGAACTTACGGTGTGTCCATAATGCCATATTGGGTCGGCCGGCTATCGCCATGGTAGGGGCAATAATTTCTATGCCCCACCTATGCATGAAGTTCCTGACCCCATAGGGGGTTGGCGTCCTTAGAGGAGATGTCCGATCAGCGCGAAAGTGTTATCTCCAAGTTGTGCATAGAAAGGAAGCTAGCAGTTCTCGGGTGAACACGATCTCTAGACGAAATGACGAACGTAGAAAGGAACAGCCCGAGCCATCCGATGAAGTTGAGGAATTGCCGTTACACGAGGATCGGCCGGATCGAATCATCAAGATTAGCAAATCCTTATCACCTGAGCTACGAGAGTCTGTACTGTCTGTCCTTCGCAAATTTTCGGACATATTCGCATGGCGACCTGAAGATAGGCTCGGGATTGACCGATCGGTCATATGTCATCATCTGGCTGTCAATCCTATGGTGAGACTGATCATACAGAAGACTAGGCATCTGTCAACCGATCACCGGGAATTTATAAAGAACGAAGTCAAAACACTAGCAGCGATTGGCCACATTCGGCCTGTGGTCTTCCCCGACTGAGTTGCAAATGTGGTGCTCATCCCTAAACCCCCAGCGTGGCACATGTGCATAGATTACACCGATATGAATAGAGCCTGCCCCTTGGACCCATACCTATTTCCAAGCATCCACCAGATTGTAGATGAGACGACTGTGGCTCACTTGATGAGTTTCATGGATGCGTTCAAGGGCTATCATCAGATCATGATGGCCGAAGAGGATGAGAGTAAGACATCTTTCGTTACTCCCGATGGCTTATATTGTTATAGAGTTATGCCCTTCGGCTTGAGGAATGTCGGGGCAACTTATCAACGCATAATCAATCGCTTATTTGACCCATTGCTCGGGAACACCATGGAAGCTTATGTCGATGACATGCTTGTGAAGAGTCGGGACCGATCTCATCATTGCCAACATTTGTGCGACTGCTTCCAGATCATGCGAACGTACCGGCTGCGATTAACCCCGAGCAAATATACTTTCGCCATAGAAACCGGCAAGTTTTTAGAATTTATGATGACGAAGCGGGGGATTGAACCCAACCCCTCTAAAGTCAAAGCTATCCTTGACATGCAAGCCCCGACCACAGTTCGGGAGGTACAACAGTTAACCGGACGGCTCGCCGCCTTAAGTAGATTTTTATCAAAATTGGCAAAGCGTGCCTTGCCATTCTTCAAGACATTGAGAAAGGTCAGCGGTTTCACTTGGGATGAAGAGTGTCGAGCGGCGTTCAACGACCTCAAAGAGTACTTGATGTCTCCTATAGTTCTTTCCAAACCAGAGCCCGGGGAAGATCTTGATGTGTATTTG